TTTATTCCTTATCAGTGCTCGGTACCGAGTGACGTGACGCGTTTTATTTGTTCTCCGAACCATCCGCTATCCGCACAGAATAATCTCTCGAAATTTTGACCGGCGAGCAGACCGATCTTCACTAATACCACAAGTCTACAGTGTCTTGGCAGATAAAAATGTTATTTATGAATGCGATAGAAATGATATCACAGATGGCAAGCAATTGGAAAAAAATAATAAATTAATTTAATGGAATTCTAAGATAATTATTGTTTTATTTATTTGTAGAAATACGAGGGTTGCCTTCAGCCAATTTCATTGATTAAGCATATGAGTACATATCTTATAAAAAATAAAAACTTAAATGATTGTTTGTACAGAACAAGAAATTAATCATACATGAAATGTAAAAGATAAATAAGAAATTCAAAATATTTTAAAAAATTTTAAAGGAGCTTTAATCTAGACATCATATAAGCTTCTGATTTTGTTTGTGACAGCTTTTTTATTATTTTATAAAGTAATTTTTTAGTATATAAATTTCTAGCTAAAAAAAATTATACTGAAAAATTGCTTTTTAAAAAGTAGGAAAAAAATTATCCCGAATGAAATTTTAATGCATGTTCTGAAGAGCATTAGATTACCAAACGGATAGCAATAGTAGATATAAGAATATTTTGCACATTTATATAATTGTAAAAAAAAAAATAACCAATATTTTATAGATGAAATTTAATAAATGTTGAGCCCAATTCTTGTGTATGTAGGCCTCTTGAGTTTCATGTTATATGTACATTTTAATATTAATTTTGTATTATTTTATTATTGTTATAGAAGAATCCTAATTTGTCATCATTTAATTTTAATTTATTATGCTATTATTCAATGTCAATGACGAGGAGAATTTCAAAATTTTGAAAAATAAAACCCATTTAATCTCTATTTGTATCAAATAAATAAATATTTGAAATCAATTAGAGAAAGGAGTTCGAGACATTTTCAGCTTCCAGATCTTGAAACAGTTTTTTTTTTTTTACTACAAATAGTGTTATGTCTGTTATACATAAAATGTAAATGATATTGGTTTTCTCTTTGTATTATATACCCTTTTATGTTAGAAATATAACGTTGAAATATATATATATAATATGTTGATTTGTATGCTTAGAAGCTTGGTTTAATAATGTAGAGTTTGATCATTCAATAAAGAGTCGGTTCGATTAATGTCATCAAAATTATGATTGGGTCTAATTAATTTAATTGGCTCAAATCTGAATGTATTCACCAACATGAAAATTATACAACAATCAAATGAGCTTCAAATTTGATTTGGGATTGTCTAATTAAGCTCGATCATCTTTCTTTTTGATAAGCCATTAAAATATCTAAGAATGTAAATTTCATGATCAATAAAGGAGTATTGTCCCTTCTTATAGTAGTGAAAAAATTTCTTGGACGTCTTTAACTTCGATCGGGATCTTCCTCAATAGTTTTTATTAGATCTTTGATCTTCTCTTCCTCTTGCTAACAACCCTTCACAATTCTTCTCTTCATTAATTTATGATCTTCTTTGAAATTCCTTAGACATCAAAATTTATTTAACTTCGGTCATTGTAAGCATATGTTTCCAATACAACATAGTGTTGAAGATGTGCTCGTAACTCTTTGATAGGGAGCTCATAAGAATTATGCCTTGATCCTCTTGTTCTAACGTCCATGTTCTTGAGATCAAGAGTGATCTTGTTAAATTCATCCATTTACTTCCTTAAATCTTTGTTTTCATCCATATGTAATGTATACAATGATTTCTTCAGGTACGTACAATCATTTGGATAACGATCTCTTCAGGTAGAGAGACTCCAGCTTTTTCCATGTTTCTATTGTCGAATCTTTCTTCAACTACTTCTCTCATTACTTTATCACTTAGTGACAAAAGAATCGCAGTATGAGATTTCAATTGGATTTCCCTAGCCTTTGCCCCATCGATAATGGCAGCAGACCCTCCTGAGAAATTGGGTCAGAAAGACCTTGTTGAACAATAAGAGCTTTCATCTTGATTCTCCATAAGCTGAAGTCGTTCTCACCAGTTAATTTGTCTATCTCAATTTTCTGCATTGACATGAATTTGACAAAAAATTGAAAAACTATATCCAACTTATACCTCTCAATTAAAATAGAAAAACTATATCCAACTTATACCCTTACAACATGTTACATAGTAGAAATATAACAAGAACTAAAGAGAACTATTAAGCAAAACTAGACCACACATCAACAGCTGGTAATGGTGTACAAATGTCTTAAAGATTGTGAAGGTATGACTGATTTATGTAGCCTTTTTAATTACTTTTTTAGTTTTATAATGATTGGCTTGATTTTGCAATGCTGAGAAGTGCTTAACTTATATAGGAAAAATATGCATTGAAGTCATATGCGTGATGGTGAAGGGTAAGACATAAGCTTCTAATACTTGCAAGGAATAACTAATGCTCCTTTAGTTTGCTAAGTACCTTTTAAATATTTTGTTGATAGGCTTAATTAATAGTGGGAAGATGAGGATATATAGCCAAACTTGCATTGAAAATATATGCTGGCTCTAACTAAATTAGTTAACAAACCCATGAGTTGAGTTTACCTAGTTGCAAATTCGAGCTCAAGTTAAAGTTTGATGAGCCTCGACAAGTTGCTTAGTCGTAAGCTAGTTTTTTTTTTTTTTTTAAGAATAAATATGCAACCTTTAAATCAGAGTTCATACAATGAGCCCCACTCAAGCTTGATATATGCGCTTGAGTTTGAATGTGAGCCTACAGTGAGATTGAAAATTAGATCTCGAATTTGTTATAATTTGAGCTTGAGCTCTTTCAGAGACCAAACTTTAGTAGTAATTTTCACAAGATGTTTTCTATTATAGTCATAAAATATGTCTCTATAGATATAAAGGCATGTTGTAGAACCCTAGCTAGAGATTGGCAATCCTAACTAGAGAGATTCATCATATAAATAAATAAATAAATAAATATATATATATATATATATGAAAAAAAAACATTAGAAGTGCATATAGAAAAAACGCTCACCTAGATTTAGATTTTATTTAGGACGATTTTTTATTGCTTTTTAAATCAATTTTCTATTAAAATTTTTATTAAAAAAAAAAAAAAATCAAAGGCACCATAAAAAACCAGACGACAGATTTGGGTAGGAGTGCAAAGCCGAAATACCTTAGCACAAATTTTCAAAGGTCACGGAGTAGATATTTGATAACTGCTTAAAAGTTGGATGAATTCAAAATTTTAGCACACAGCTCATCAGAGAAAAAACATAGCGGAGAAAAACTAAAAGTAGTACAGCACAAAAATAGAACGTGCAGTTTGATGAGATTTTTGCTGTGGTTTTGGAAAAAATTTATTGAAAAATATTAGTCTCGAAATATTCCTCGTAAATTATAGTTCAGCATCTAAAATATATATGTTCAACCGCAATACTTTTACATGGAATTGCAACATATATTGATAATATTTTTGAAACTATCTGTTACAATAATAATAATAATAATAACATCAAATTTTTATCCCATTACATGGGGTTGGCCGTTTGGGTACATAAATCCTTCTCCATTGTGTCCTATAAAGAGTCAAATTCTCATTTAAAAATAATAAAAAATATCATTTCTAATACTTTCTAATCAAATATTTTTAGGTCTACATCTATCTTTTTTAACATAAACCAACTCTATTACATCAATCTACTCTCCTAATCGGATCATCTACAGGCTGACAATTTATGTGACCAAAACATCAAAGAAGACTCTCTAATCTTATTTACCGCAATAGCTACTCCAAACTTTTCCCGTACATACTCATTTCACATTATCTCTCTAATTATAAAGTCACTCATCTATCTGAGCAACCTCATCTCTACAACTCTTAACTTAATTTTTTGTTTCTCTTTTAGTGGTTAGTATTCTACATTATAAAGAATTGCATGTATCTGAATCATCTTATAGAATTTTCCTTTAGTTTGAGGGATATTTTTCTATCGCACAATAGACCCGATGCATTCCTCTACTTCAAACATCCAATTTGATTTCTAGTAATAAAATTTACATCTATTTCATCATCCCTTCGAACAATAGTTCTGAGATATCTAAAACGTGTACTATTTTTAAGAACTGCATCGCCCAAAGTCACAATCTCCACTAGATCTATTGCTACGAAAATTATACTCAATGCATTCGGTTTTAAATCTACTCAAACAAAAAACCTAGACTTTAAAGTTGACCTCCTTAATTAAAGTATTCCTTAAACTCCCTCTCTAGTCTTATCAACAAGAAAAATATCATCAACAAAAAGCATACATTATGGTACATCCTCTTGTAAATGTCAAGCAAGATCATTCATGACTAAAGCAAAAAGAAGCAGGCTAAAACTAGATTCTTGATGTTATCCAACTGAAATAAGAAAATAATTTATTAAACCTCCTTATATTTGAAAACAAATAATAACTCATGTATATATTTATGTAATAACTTGAATATAAGCATTAATAACTTCTTTCTTTTCTAGAACTCTCTAGAGTAATTCTTTTGAAATTTTATCATATATTTTCTCTAAATCAATATATATCACATGTAAAGATTGTTTAAACTACAAAAAATATTTTTTTGAAACTGTGTTAAAGCACAAAAAAAAAATGCTTAGCAAAATAAAAAAGATTTGTCTTACAATACTCTTGAGCTTAATTCATAATTAATATTTCGTTTGAGGCAACTTTCTTACTATTTTATTTTTCAGATCATAATCATAATTTTTATTTGGCTATTATTTTTTCACTGCATTCAAAAAATATTTGTGCTGGAAAACTGTTTTGTACAATACTTTTTTAAAAAATTTTGCTTCCTACCACAACTTGACAAAATATTAAAAAACCTGTCCCAAACGAAACCTAAGTAGCGATAGAAACTTGGCTGAAAATCCAGTTTCATCGATCTCTAGCAGTAAAAAAAAGTGCAAGAGAGCTAAGCAAACAAGGCAAGTTCAAAAACTTCCTAATATCATGGCTATCACCAACCTCAAAAATAAGTTACTAAGGTTCCCAAAGCTTGGCACTGAAACAATTAAAGGCAGCAGATTAATATGTTCAGAACCATTATTAAGCTAAATACTTTCTTCCAAACATTCTATTATGACCACAACGACGATCACCTAGAAATCACAAAGCAAATGCCTCCCAATTTTCTTTAGCATCCACTATATCTTCAACTCTAGACTTTTCATTGTTGAAGAACAGCCCCTTCAGATTATATGGTCCAATCGAGGTCTGTGGACCGTTCCACAACATATCTGCTATTTTCTCTGCAAGCTTCTCGGTTACATGGAAAGAATCCCACCACACAAAATCTTCCGTTGAGTTGCACACCTCGTAATCACTTACCTCTTTGTTTCCTCCACAGCTATACACACCTCCATATGGCCCAGACCCACAACATGCATTGATTCCATCTTTAAACCCTTTATTAAACAAAAAATGCAAAGCATCAGATTAAGGATTGGTTTGGGACGGCTTCTTATTGCTTTCTAAAGTAATTTTCTAGTTCAAAAATTTATAGTTCAAATGATATTTGTACTAAAAGGTTATTTTAAAAAACAGTAAAAAAGTCCTCGCAAAATGAAGAAATTATTATGTGCGGAGTCCGGTTATATCCTGACTCCGATAAAAACATGACATGTGTTCTTATACATAGTGTGTATAACTGTACATAATATATACAAATTACAAAATTATATACATAATATATACAAACTTATGTACACAATTGTACATACTTTGTACAGTACAAGGACACATATTATGTATTTATTGGAGTCCTGAAGTATCTCTAAATCTAGATTCCACACGTAATAATTTATCCCCCAAAATGAAGCAAAATTGCTATATAAGTAAAAATGAACCTCTTTTTACATGATTACATCGAGATTTTAGCATGCTTTTTTAGGCGTTTCATATTAAATTCACTAAGGAATTCAATCCTTAGTTGGATTTCTATCCAAATTCAATCATTACACACAGAGAGAGAGAGAGAGAGAGAGAGAGAGAGAGAGAGAGAGAGAGAGAATGGGTTAGGATTGAAATATACCTGATTTGGCTGGATTATGAATAACTTCATGCAGCCAACTGTAGAACCCTGAGCTGAAGGCATATTTAAATTCTGTGAGGATGTGGCCAAAGCTTAGGAGCACACCATACAAGGCATTGTTATGTGCCAATGCAAGGTCAGAAACATCATCAAAGCAACTGCCATCTGCTTTTGGATTTGCCGCTCTTAGAGCAGGTAAACATCCCAAGGGACTTAAACTCAGGAAACCAAATTTCCTAGCGCCTTTCTCATATAATCCCTCCAAGAAGAAGAAGAAAAAAAAAAGTTATTATCAATAATACAACTGGTTTTTGAGGTTTTATACATTTTATACTCACTTGTATTGATTCCGACAAATTTCCAATAACCATTCCAACAATGTCCTCAGAAGTAAAAACCTCCTGCCTTTGTGGGCTACCTAAATAGCTCAAGTAATCGTTGCTTCCAATGCTTATAAAGTAAACAGCAGTTGCAATCAGTTCTCTTGCATCTGCTTCACCCAGCTCTGCTGATAGCGAGCTTATAACTGTATTGAATTGCTCTAGCTGTGTTGGGAAATCAATCACCTGAGAATAATCAGAAAACCAGAACTGATTTTACTATATACTTGTAGTGGTGAAAATCCATAGACTTGGGGAAAAAAAAAGAGATTTTTTTTGGTCTAAACAGGGGAAGAATGAAATTGAAGAGAATGAAGAAGACGATCAGATCTCACAATTCCTCGATATGTTTCCGGCAAAACGCCAGCGCCTCCTGATGCAAAGTTAACTCCTTTTATAAACTTCGCAGATGGTTGCTTGAATGGTGGAATTATAGGGAGTTTGGCGTATTCCGCTTTGCAGAGGAAAAAAAAAAAAAAAGTGAAGTAAAATTTAACAATACGTATATGAATGACCCCAAAATTTAAGTAAAACATTGATGTTTTTAGTTACCGATGAAATCTACAACTATGCGGCCGTCGGAAAAGCGGCCGGTAGGTTTGTTGAAAAAACTGCTGTGCCCATATGGAGGTAAGTTTGCTCTGGCGATGGTATCGATGTAGTTGTTGTTGCCGACGTCGACGGTGGAGTCGCCGAAGATGAAGAAGGCGGGTGTATTTTCCTCCGGTGAGCTTGCGAGTGATTTGATGATTATCAAGAGAGTAAGGAGGAGGATTTGGAAGACGGTGGAGAGTGGAAGAATCTGAATTGGTGAATTCATTTTTAGGATATGCTTGTGAGTTTGTTCCCTTATTGGTCTTCTTGCAGGAAGAAGGCAATTTGAAGGGTTTTTATTAAAAAAAAAAAACAAAATAATAAATTAGTTTAACATTAATTTTTTGATCCAGAGTCTCCTAATGAGTGAGCAACTAAGAAGCTCTTCTTCTTCTTCTTCTTTTTCTTTGATTTTGATCAAATTTTTGTTTTCTTAGGTTGAAATGAAAGTTATTTTTTATGTTTTCAAATCATTTCATAAAAATTTTATTTGGATGATTACTTAAATTTTTTTTTATTTCATCTTTAGTTTAAAATGGAGCAGTTAAAATATATTATTACATGAAAGAGAAACTATAACAACACAAATAACATCAACATTAAGATTTTATCCCACCATATGAGATCAAAGGCTGCAAATGAATCAAGCATTTGACAAGTTACTTGTGGCTCAGCTTGATAAGAGCTCGTTCATGTTCATTTGATAAGATAAACTAATGAGCTTGAACACTTTTGATAAATACTCGATAGCTAAATAAATGAGTTGAACAACTTGACATTTAGTTCATTTATGTTCATGAATAGTGCCGTTTAATGCTCATGAACAAGCTTGTTAAGAAGCTCAATTAGAGCTCGATTAGAACTATATTAGAGTTCTAAAAAAATATATATTGTTAAATTTAATAATTTAATAATTTATTTTTACTAATCCTATTTAAAATCATTTAATGATGTATTTTTACTTCCCACATCTACCTAAAATCGCAAATAACCTACTCTCTAAACAAATATAAGATGAATCATAGATCATTTGTTCTTAAACGAGCTCATTTAGTAGCTCAATAATACTCATTAGATATGTTCGCGAATGAGCTTGCTTTATAATTTAAAAAATTCGCTAGTTATGTTCACGGATAAGTTCGATGTAATTGTTTGTTAGAAGGCTCGATAAAACTCATTTGTAAAATAAATGTACATCTAGAAGTACAACTAGTTCGTAGCTCAATAAGGCTTGTTTGTTTAAAGCTTGATAAGTATGAAATAGGTTGAATATGAACCAAACATGAAAACCTATCAATTTAAACGAATCAAGCTTGAACACAAACAAAAAAGTTCGAATCAAACTCAAATCGAACTTGAACAAATTGATAATAAACAAACTCAAATACGAACACACACATACTCAACTCGGTTCGATTCTTTTCCATCCCTAGATATTTCCAAGACACCTAAGTGATAGTAAAAAAAAATATTTTTAACACATGCAACAATATTTTCTGTTTGCGAAATGCTCTCGTTGATCAAAGAAGTCATAGCCGGCCGCTACAGAGTCAAACAAAAAAAGCCTCGTCTATAATCAAAATTTGATCATGAGAGTTGATTGAGCAATAATTAATAAGAAAATCTTAATAAAATTTATATAATAATCAGAATGTTAAAATAAATGATATTAATGATGTATGCACAACTAAGGAGATAATCATATTATAATTACATAATTTTGCAGAATTATCAAAGAGGTTAACAAACATTATTTTTTTTAGGGTAAACTCATTTAGGTTAATGAATTGACTAATGATTAATATTTTTTAAACACAAAACCTATACTGACCTCTTCATCATCAACCAAAGTAAAAATTTTATTTGGGACAATTTTTTTATTGTCTTGTAAAAATATTGTAAAAAAAACAACTTTTTAGTATAATTTTTTAAAATAAAAAAAATAGTGATCAAATAAAAATTAATGATAAAAAAAATAAACAATAAGAAAAATTATCTCAAATAAATTAAAGCCCTACTCCCTCAACCATTTTATTTATAAGCTTTGAAAACGTCAATAAGGTGGCACCATATCATGTATTTTAATAAAATTTTTAATAATTAAAAAGTTAAAAACTATTTTTAAGATTAGCAAATTTATACTAAATAAATAATTAATTAAAAAATAAGATTTATTTAAAAAAATAAATGCTAAAGTACTGAAATTTTTTATTCATATTTATTCCCTCCAATTTGTTCCGTCTAATACGCTGACGGTAATCCTCCAATTAAATCCTCTCCATGAACCAATGTTGCAATTTGCGGGGCAGGATGCAGACGGGACAAGCCGGCGTTAAATGAATTGTTTTTAATGACTAATGAGGCTCTCGGCGGATGAATCGAGGCATTCGGCTGCGACCGGTGAAGGAATGCGGGCGGCAGTGAGAGCCCTACAAATGTGAAGGTGTCGCTTTTTGTGGTGGACTTATTTGGAGGAAGGGGGAATAATGGTTGAGGATATGCTGGATTAATTTTAATATTATGATAAGATTTATCATTTATTTAAGATAAATAATATTTTCTTTGGATTGTTTAGCTTATCTATTACATTATTAAATAATTAAATAATTTATTATGATATTTCGGATACATATTTTCCGAAATAGAAAAGAAATTTTGAGTTATAATTACCTTTGACTAAATTTTAGTTTGAATTAGTTTTAAAAATTATTATACTTATTTTAATTTGGCATTATAAGTTTTATTGATTATTCATATATTATATTTTTATTATATGCTGAAATTGTGATTTCAGAGAGAGATTTTTTAAGTTTCTAGTTTTATTGCTTAAGATCCTGATAAAAAATAAAATGAATATAGTAGGCATTAATACTCATGCATGCCTTCTACTAAACTGATTTCCTAAAACGGGCAAACGACATCACTAACGTCATAGGTACTTTGGCTTGTCAACTTAAGTCCTTTTAGAACATTCACTTAGCTGCTCTAACTTTGGGTTGCTTAACACTTGCATAGGGCGATAAACTGACCCCCGATATAAGTTGTACATATTTGTATCGATGCATAACCGACCACCTTACATCAGAACAATGAAAAACTTCCAGTACTCATGACATATACTGATTAAACAAACAAAATTTGATGTCTTTAGTTTAAAAATTAACCCCAATTTTTTACATGAAAATTACAAAAAAGATAAAAAACTACATGGCCTAACTCAATAAAAATGATTAATTAATATAGATTTGTTGTAAGCCTCCTCTTTCTTCTCATTGGAAGAATACAAGATTATAAAACTATGTATAATTAGAACTTTAAATTTCTATGAATTCAAGAGAATAATTGAAGACCTGCAATATTGGGATGGTTGTTAGTTTTGCAAGAGGATTTGGAATGATGATTGTCGAGTGGTAATGATCGGTGATGAGAGTATTAGGGATGGGAATCAAATGATATGATTGAATGATTGGCGAATGAATTATGGTAGTTGGCGATTGGTTGTCTGATGAAGTCGAGATAGTCAAATGATGAAGTTAAGCACCAATGTGGCTGGTGTAATCATCAGCATCAAATGTTTGAATAGAACTGCTAGAGTTTTTTGGTTGTCTTCGATTCTCTCACCATTTCATGTTTGATGTCAATTGAAAAAGTTGTGTGCAATGTGGCGATAACTTTCGACTTCAAATCTAAGCCAAAACTATAATAATTCCAAATTTAATCTAGGCCAACATTGGCCCAATTGTGATCTTAGGCTTAGGCCCATTCATTGGGCTGGGCCGTATGCCGAATGAATAATTTTGTGAATAGTACACTATAAGCTTCACAATGTGTCATAAGCGCCCTATATTTTTTAGAAATAATTAAATTAAAAGGTACAAAGCAAATTTTATTCAAGAATGGTAAATCACAAAATAAAATACAATGAAATGAACAGGGGCGGCATTAGCTCTCCTGGTCAAAATTTTATATATAAACCAATATAATAATTTAAATAAAATAATTAAATTAATACAATTATTTAATATTTAAAAATATATATAAATAAATAAATAAAATAAGACAATCAAATTATAACAGGAAAAACATAAGCAGACAATAAATGTGAAAAGTTTTTAAATCTTTTATTTTAATAAAGTTGATAACTTCATTGAGAGTAAAGATTTAAGTTGGGCATTTTTTAGTTGATGATAGGGCAAAGTTTGTAAAAATGAATCAATCAAACAGCTTTCACACCTAAACTTATTTAATTTATATATTAATATGTATATTATCTTTGTATATGATGTTTATTCTTCTTTATCGCTACACTAGTACTTAGTTTATAAGCCATGGTCACTTTGCACACGCTAGATATTTATATGTGAGACAAAAGAAAAAGCAGTTTTATCTATTTGTTTGAATCAACTTTTTAATAAAACTAAGTATTAATTTAAATTTTATACTAAAAAAAAGTTCTGGCTTCAAGAAGCAATAAAAAAGCTGTCCCTAAATAGCCGGAAGCCTTAGTTTTGGAATGACTTTCTTCTTAATGCTTCTAAAACAGCTTTGTAGGTAACAAAAATTAAATTTTGATGTAATAAAGCTGATTCAAGAAAGTGGTAAGGAAAGCCATCCCAAATGACAGTCTTTAGTTGCTCTATTTGATAGGTTGCTAATTAGTTTTATTTCTATCTCATCTTCCTGAATTAATTTACTATTAATTATTAGGTAAACCCAATTGTAGGGGTTGTCAATATTTGCCGACACGAAAACCGCGACCCGGACCCGACCCGAAAAATCGGGCTGAACCCCGACCCGTTTGAAAAACGGGTCGGGTTCGGGTTGCACAGATTCGACCCGTTTGACAAAACGGGTCGGTGTTCGGGTTGCCCGGCGGGTTGCCGGGTCCAACCGCCAACCGTTTTAGTTAAAAAATTTTCGAAATCCCGCCCTGCCCGCTGCCCCGCCCCCTGCCCGTTGCCCCGCTGCCCGCTGCCAATGCGCCGTCTGCCCGCCCCGCTGCCAGCCCCGCTGCCGCGCCGCTGCCCCGCTGCACCGCGCCGGCTGCCCGCCCGCTCCCGCTCGCTGCTGCTCCCCGCTGCCCCCGCAGCGTGCCGCGCGCTGCCGCAAGCGCTGCCCAGCGAGCTGCCCGCGCGCTGCCGGCAAGCGCTGCCGCGCGCTGCCTGCGGTTCGCCTGCTGCAGCGAGCTGCCGCGCGCTGCCTTGCCGTCGCCTGCTGCGCGAGCTGCCGCGCGGTTCCGGGTCGTGGTCGGGTTCACCGGCTAAACCCGTCGTTGTCGGG